GTAGAAGATGATTAATCCTACTTTCATAACCTTGAACTGCACATTTCCCACCAATTGAGTAATTTTGCTCTAGTTGATTTACCACGAGAACACTCTGGACTTTAATGAAAGGGTCAATCGTTTGCTCACTTCTTTTTTTTTTTTTTTTTCCCATTTACAAAGCTGTTTTGTTGAATACTGCACTCATGTAGGTGAGTGCCGTGCTTGTGATGGTTGGTAATGGGGAACAGTTCCAAGGCAGTTTGATTGTTCTGTAGCAGAATTTGGAATATCTCAGTGCTACATTAAATAACTTTTGGAAAGGAGGAGATAGTAGGTACTGATTAGTGAAAAAAAATTTTTTTTGAAACTACATAACTTTATTCATTGGAACTCTATTTATATTCATTAACTTCAGGTTTGCTTTTGGTCCGTATCTGGTGATGCTCAGGGCTTACTCCTGGCAGTGCTCAGAGGACCTTATACAGTGCTGGGATTCAAATAAGCGTCAGCAAGGGAAACACCTTAGCCCTTGGATTATCTCTCAGGCGCCATCCTCGAATACTTTTCTCTCTATGAAAGTAGTCGACTTTTACAGTGTAACTTGTTTTTTCCTTTACGCACCATCATCTATAACACAGTTAATCTTTATGCTTCAGTAATACCGTATTGCTGTACCACATCCACCAGCAGATTGTCACTGTCCCTCCGTCTCTCCTCTCAGCTTAGCAGAAACCCAGTCCCTGGCCACGGCTTATTCCCTTACTCTGTTTCTTTAGGTTTTACTTATGAGAACGAGCATGGTGAGTCTGTTCATCTCAAATTCGTGTCATTTAAAACCGTGACTCAGTTTTCTCAGCACTGTCCCCTCAAGTTCTCTCCAAGTCGCACAACTTGCAGGCACGAAAACAGCTTTGTTTAACAAATGAGTTCATTGATTTTCATTTTTTTGCACTGTTAGGAAGAAAAGCTTACAGACATGACAACGTGCTGATTCCAGGATACAGAGTGGAAGTGTCCCCTCCACAGTGGGTCAGTGTGAGCAGGATGTATGTGTGCATACTTGCCCTCGGTGAATTTCACACTGGATCAAAGGATATGCTCATTGTAGAGATGGGGTGGGAATTCTCTGCATCAAGAAGGATGTCTCCTAGCTCTGCACTCAGGAATCCCTCCTGACTCTGCTCAGGGGACCATATGGGAAGCCAGGGATTGTACCCAGGTCAGCTGTGTGCAAGGCAAATGCCTTCCTCACTGTACTATTGCTCTGGCCTCAACTTTAATTTTTCTTCAGTAGCTTCTTTCAAGACATACTTTAAAGGTAGATAATAACGGATGATGCTGTGGACATAGGATAATGATCGCTGAGGATTTAGGATTTATATTAGTTTAAATTAGAACATAGCGTGCTTCTGTTGTGATTTCAGTAGGAACTACAAATATTCAAATAGCTATAAGGGAATGAATATGGAAAGAGAAAACAGACATGCATGTCAGTGGCACTGGGGCATGGCTGAGTGGTAGAGCTTGCCTTTCTATATGTCTGCGGGATTTCTCTGCATTCATTAATTGTGTGATTTTAAAGGTGTTTTGAAAGGTTAGAGGCATTAGACTCACATCGTGTCCATGTGAATACATTAAGAAGCCTTACCTTGATACAGCTTTAGTTATATTTTTATATTTTTACAAGCTTCCTTAAAAAGTGCTTGTTTTCTCTGTAGTCTCTTTGAATATATAAACTACATACGCGAGAGCTAAGTTAACAGATACACTAAGGCACAGTGGGTGATACTTGATATGATCGTCTGACCCAGTGCTCATGGTCTACAACATTTATGACTGTGAACTTATTTCAGTATAGCGTTTTATTTGGCTTCATAAATACGGCAAACTAAACATGTTCTTTTGCAGCAAAATAAGCTATCGTTTTCAACATTCGTATTGCAGATTTTTTTGGCATGTAAATGAAGCTGACTAAATTTTAGTTTTGAAACAAATGCTTTAGGGCTGGAGCAATAGCACAGCAGGTAGGGCGTTTGCCTTGCACGTGGCCAACCCGGGTTCAATTCCCAGCATCCCATATAGTCCCCTGAGCACTGCCAGGAGTAATTCCTGAGTGCAGAAGTAATTCTTGAGTGCAGAGCCAGGAGTAATCCCTGTGCATTGCCAGGTGTGACCCAAAAAGAAAAAAAGGAAAAAAAAAGAAACAAATGCTCTAGCAGCATTTGAAAGCTCTAGTTTTGGTGCCGGAGAGATGGAGCGGATTGATTGCTTACCCTGCATGCCACAAGCTCGGCTTTGATTCTCAGCACTGAATAAGGTACCCTGAGACCCACCAGGAATGACCCCCTGAGCACAGAGCTAGGAGGACTAAGCCTTGGGCACAGTTGACGGTGGTTGGTCCAAAAGCAAAACAGAGAAGAAAAACACAACAACTCCCAAACCTGTAAATCTTACTTGTTTGTATTTATTGAAGTTTAAAATCTGGGCAACAAAACAGTTTAGGGAAAAGCTGTAATATTAGTCCATGTGATAACTAAATGAGATAGATTCAGGTTTTAAAAAGCTGTGTAAAAACCAATCCATTTGGGACCTTCTGCTTGCTGCTCACCACCAGCCCGATTTCCCCACAAATTACATGGTAAGAAAGACCCAGAGTTGACCGTCACAGGCACCGAGATCCAAGAAGGGTCCAAGCGAAAATAGACTTAATTAGGAAAACTGCAAGACATTTTATACTTCAAGTAACAAAATTCAAAGATTGAAACAATATTGAGAGCAGCAAGATCAATAAAAGGAGCTTCTATACAAAGGAAAGCCCATAAGATGTACAACAGGTTTTCCAAACTAGACGCGACACGCCAGAAGGCTAGAGTACCAAAACCCAATGAGATGAGTACTCTACCCAGGAGTACTCTACCCAGCCAGATAATCATGCAGAGTGGAAGGAACTATTCAGAGCTTCATGGACAGGCAACAGCTTAGGGAAGTTACAGTCTTGAAACCAGTTTTATAAGAAGCGTTAAGAGCTCCTTTAAAGAAGAGGAGAAACTTTCCATCACGTTGCACTCAGTACAGTGCTCTCTAATGGCGCATATGGTTGTCTACTGCTAGATTATAAAAGATTAAAAATGTATAGTAAATTCATCATCACAAATTGGCTTTTATTGATTTATTTTCTGATCATTGTATTTGCCCTGCCCCCCCGTATTTTTGCTTTTTGGGTCACACCCAGCGATTTCCAGGGCTTTTCTCCTGGCTCTGCACTCAGGAATTACACCTGGCGGTGCTCGGGGGACCATATGGGATGTTGGTAATTGAAACTAGGTTGGCTGCGTGCCCTACCCACTTTGCTATCACTCCAACCCCTATCTGCCATTCTTTTAAGAGTTTTTTAAGCAAGTCATATAAAAAAACTGTTTTATGCCTGTCAAGGAGGCAAAAAAGGAATGTATTTATGTCAGGGAAGATAGGATGATTACTGCAATGAGATCCACAAGTATAAAATAAAATTTAATTCAATGTATTTTAGATGCCAGAATTGAAAATGTAGTTATGTAAATAAGAATAGGCAGTGTACTATACTGTATTGAATAATTTGAATTTCTTTATTTAAGTAGGTTAAAATCATATAACAATCAGTCACCACAAATTGACCTTTGTTATTTTCTTTTCTGATAATTCCATTTGCCATTTCTTTGAGTTTTGTTAGTGCGAGTAATATGAAATAAATTTTAAATGCTTGCAAAGGGGGCAGGCTGGGGGGGTGGCAGGGAACCTGGGGAGACTGGTGGGAAGCAGAGGACATTGGTGGTGGGGTTGATGTTGGAGCCTGAGATGGCGCTGGTGTGAACAACTTTGTAAATCATGGTGTCTTAATAAAAACTAAAAGTAATTCCAAAAGGTTATTTAAAAAAATAATTTAAAAATTAACCCATTTGTTAGAATTTGACTGTAACACTATAGCACTGTCCTCCCATTGTTCATCGATTGATTCGAGCGGGCCCAGGAATGTCTCCATTGTGAGACTTATTACTGTGTTTGGCAGATCGAATATGTCATGGGTAGCTTGCCAGGCTTTGCGGTGTGGGCGGAAATATTCGAGGTAACTTGCTGGGCTCTCTGAGAAGGACGGAGGAATCGAACCCAGGTCGGCCAGGTTGGCCACATCAGCCGTGTGCAAGGCAAACACCCTACCTGCTGTGCTATCGCTCCAGCCCAATTTGACTGTAATCATCTTAAATTTATTTCCACATCAAAAATCTCCAAGTAGATGGCATAAGAATTTGGACTGACATGAAATTCACATACATGTGGAACTACATGGAAAGTATCATGTTAAGCGAAATGAGTCAGAAAGAGCGGGATAGACACAGAAAGATTGCATTCGTCTGGGGGACATAAAGCAACAAAATGGGAGACTAACACCCAGGAGTGGCCGAGATTAGTACCAGGAATTTTGCTCCATGACTCGGAGGCCCGCCACACGTGCTAGGGAAAAAGGAAGCTCAGATAGAGAAGAGAGCACCAAATAAAGGGTGTTGGGAGGATCCTCCCAGGGTGGGAGAAGCATGCTGAAAGTAGACCATAGAACAAACATGATTGCCACTCAGTGCCTCTCTTGCAAACCACAGGACCCAAAAGGAGAGAGAGAGAATAAAAGGGAATACCCTGCCACAGAGGCAGGGTAGGATGGCGGGTATGGGGGGTGGGAGGGATGCTGGGACCCGTGGTGGTGGAGGATGGGTACTTGGTCATTGTATAACTGAAACCCATGCACAAAAATTTGTAAGTCTATAACTGCACCTCATGGTGTTTCACTAATAAAAAAAAAAAGAATTTGGACTGAGCTGGGTAAATGGGCCCTTTGAGCTCATGTGGCAGTACGTCTCATCTTAAATCGAAGTTGCTGTAATCTATTTCTAAGATCATCCGTTAAGGACTTAGTACCGAGTTATTAAGCCACAGTAACTTGGGTTGCGTTTAATGTTGAATTTATTGACTTTTTAATTTGCTGCAGTTCATTCTGGGCTCACTGAATCTGTTTTTGGGTGGATCAACAATTTGGTTGACTTGATCAGTGTAACCTTCCATTTTGAGTTTTCCAGCATATTTTCTTCTCTTCTCCGTCCTTGCTTTGGCTTTGGGCTTATTGTAATTGTCATTTAGGTTATTTTCCTCGTATTTATCATCCCACCACCAGCCTCCTAAGGAAGGTTCATGGAGAGTTATATTCTAACAACCTTATCTTCATATATAAATAAGACAGCATTACAGATTCATATAGGCCAGTAATCGGTGTAAATTTCCTTTAGATATTTAAAAAATATCTAAGGAAGTCTAGAAATAAAGTAGTTTTCTAGAACGAAATTAGCTTGTAGGTTGAGACTTTTTTTTTAACCTATAAAATATTTATGTAGAAATTCAGATTTTAAAGTTAACAGTTAGTATTAGCTAATACTCTGGGTAGATTTTTTGAAGATAGGAAAGTAAAGCACTGATACCAGGAAAACTGTGCCTGAGTAATTTTCCGTGCAATTGAAGTGTCCTTTCACTCTGTGATCCCAAGTGGGAAACATCAAGTCTTTGTGTTCTGGGAGGGCGCTGAGCACATGCCAGTAATCTCCACCAGGTTTAACCTAGAGTTAGTTTCATGATTGCCCAAATGGAAGGAATATTCGAAATAATGCTTGTTATCTCTCCAGTCTTCTCGCTCAATTCGTAAAATGTAAATAGATTGCTTTACTATGGAGTATATCTTCTCTAGACCCAGCCAAAATTCTCCTGAAAATAAAAGTAAAAATTTGGGGATTGGTAACTGCAGATGAGACACACAACAGTTTTAAGTTGTTTTAAAATTATTATTTGTAAATGAGTTACTTCATCTCAAATTCCACAGTTACTTTAGAGTCTCTTTAAAGTATTTCTTTGTAAATCAAGCCCCGAGCACTGCCAGGTGAGGCCTAAACGTTGTCCTAACCCCAGGCCCCCACAAATTTTCACAGATACAAATACTGACAATATTAATTGGCCTGTCTAAAGTCTTAATTATCTTTTCTAAAATGCATACTTTGAGACAATCCTTGTATAAAATACATTGCATTATGTGGTTTTTTGTTTTTTTTGGGGGGGGTGCACATCCAGCAGTGCTCAGGGACTCTACACAGCTTTGTGCTCAGGGGTTGCTCCTGGTAGTGCTCAGTGGATGGACCATGTGGTGCCAGGGTGTGAACCTAGGCCTTCTGCATGCAAAGCGTCACTCAAACCCATCGAAGTGTCTCTCAGACCCCTCAAATATATTTCTTCAGGTGTGGTCATGAGTAGATCAGCATCTCTTATTCCTTTTGCGACCCGGCTTTTCGAGGTTTTTTAGCTGTTCCCAGATGAGTAGATAAAATAATAGAGTGGCCGGAGAGATAGTACTGCATGTAGGGCCCTTACACCGGGCCTGGTTTCTAATCCTGGCACCATTTATGGGCCCCCTCACCCAGCCAGGAGTATCCCTGAGTCCAGAGTCAGGAGTAAGCCCTGAGCACAGCAGGGTGGTCCCAAGCTCAATATAATAACAATAATAATGTCGTTAAGTTATTAAGTATAGATTTGGTTTTCTATATTTGCTCTATTTATTTCTATGTAGAAAAAAAGTAAATTTGTAAAAACATTTTAAATTACAAAGCATCATTCATAACTTTTTTTTTCTCTGACGTAAAGTTTGTAATTTGGGGGCTGGAGCAGTGGTAATGGTAGGCAGGATGCTCACCTTGCACACGGCCAGCACCACGTAGGGTCCCCTACACCCCCAGGAGTGATTCCCTGAGCCCCGAGCCAGGGGTAAGCCCCGAGCACCACTGGGGGGGTATCCCCCAGACAAAAACTATTTCTATTTTAAAGAATTTAAAACAAATAGTCAAACATCTCTCTAATAATCACAGTTATTTTTACATAAGGAAAAAGTCCAAATTTTCTTAGAGGGAATGAACTCGTGGGTGACTTCATTGCAAGCACAGATGGTTTACGGATATTAATAACTGAGTAGTCTGGACTTGCCAGCCTTTATTTTGGGTATCTTAGGAGATTTGTTACTAAATACATCACTGTTGAGGATACACTTTTAGTGATGGACTGACTGGTAGTTTGGGAGAACAAATTTTTAAGGGTTAGATATGCTCACTTTCCACAGTTGATGTAATTTGGGGAAGGAGGTTTGGGCCACACTTAGTGGCTACTTCTAGCTGCTCTTGGGCTTTTTCCCCAGCAGTGCCAGAGAACAAAACAAGGCCTGAGCTCTAACTATACAGTCTCACTCACCCTCATATGTGATATAATAATGTTTTTTTTTTTTTTTGCTTTTTGAGTCACACCTGGCCGTACACAGGGGTTACTCCTGGCTCTGCACTCAGGAATTACCCAGTGGTGCCCCAGGGGACGATATGGGATGCTGGGAATCGAACCAGGGTCGGCCGCATGCAAGGCAGACGCCCTACCCACTGTGCTATTGCTCCAGCCCCAATAATGTATTTTTTAAACTTCATAGATAAGTACTTGTACATTAGTCATGGATGCTTATAGTAGGATTTTTGGAGCATACACCAACATTTTTCAGATTTTACTTAGTTTATTTATTTTGGGAACAGAATAATTTCCATGAGTTTTGACCAAACATTCCATTGGGGTGCGTCTATAGTATTTAAATAATTGAGTCTGGACGTTTTTATATGAAAAATTTAATGGCTTCTTTGTCTCTTCGAGCTTCCAAATAACTGTAGAAAATTTGGTTAAGAAAGTAGATGGTTTCTTAATAGTTTACTCATGGCATCTGCCCGATCAAAGTACGTAGCACTTAATTAGAATTTTTAATTTAACTTTAATAATTATAATTATGATAATTATAAGTCATCAGATTAAATTGTGATAGGTATAATTAAGAAAAGACATTTAGATGTGGTAAGTGGTAAGTATAATACTTAGAATAGAAATTGCTAACAAACGTACAATTATTTGTAAGTTCTGTGAAGGGTAGGATTGTTCCTCTTTCATTTCTGCACTTCTAATGCCTAGCCCATGAATGAATGAATGAATGAATGAAGCCACTTTGCCATCAAGCTTCCCAAAACCATATTTGTAGTTTTCCCAAGTTTCACTGAAATTTTGTGTTCCCTCTATTCAGTGTTGAATTACCTAAATATAATGCATGAAATTCTATATTAGTAGACTAATACAGCTATAACAAGGTACTATTTTTATTCATTTATTAATTTTGGTTTGACTTTTTTTCATCATTCATAATAATCCACAATAATACCCAGGCAAAGGGCCTGGACTGGGGTGTCTGTGGCTCTGGGGTGTCTGTGGCTTACTGTGCCCCCTCGTTCTGTACAGAAAGAATGCAGTAAAGAACACAGCCTGTGGTAAGCACTGGGCGGCCTGGTTTGACTTCAGTTGGTGGTTATGAAAGGTCATTGTTAAGGTTGGCATGCGATTAGTTATCATTCCAAGATCTTAAAGGCAACTTATCTTTTTATTAATAAACCTTTGAAAGTATTTGCTTCAATTTATTTTATGGAAAAACAACATTGTATGAATACACAAATATATATATGCAAGCAAGACAGTTATAAATAACACCTGTATAACTACTCATATAAGCTTTATTTTGTAGGTTTTCTAAATAGATAGGATTAGTCTTGCTAATAGAGTGTTATCTGGGCTTAATATTTTCCATTTCCTTCTTAGGTTAGTTTTACCTGCTGTAATTTTACAGTAGACATTAAAAGCTTGAGAGTTTCTGGGTCTAATGGAGTAAATACCACTTATGTGTTTGCCCCTTTTTATAAATGGTGGTGGAATCGACAGGAATCTCTAGAATTAATGAAATGTTATCAAATTAGACAAAGTAAATGATTGTTACCTTTAGAGCTTGAGATTTAACGGAATTTGTCTAAAGCAATTTTATACTAGAGCATCACTGCATGACATGTTACATAGAGAATATATAAATGGCTGTTAAAATGATTTTTAAAAAGAAAATAGGTGAAGTGAGAATTTTAAAAACATTAATTTTTGGGCCGGAGCAATAGCACAGCGGGTAGGGCATTTCCCTTGCACGTGGCCGCCCCTTGTTCGATCCCCGGCATCCCATATGGTCCCCCAAGCACCGCCAGGAATAATTCCTGAGTGCAGAGCCAGGAGTGACCCCTGAGCATAGCTGGGTGTGACCCAAAAAGGCAAAAACAAAAACCCATTAATTTTTGTAGGTGTAGGAAAAATATAAAATATTACACGTTGAGACATTAGTGTGTGGTATGTAACTAGTAGTCAAGAGATACAGGCGGAGTAATCAGACTGTTTTTTCCCTGTATGAATTGCAGAAAAATACATGTTTATGAAAATATAATCCTGTTAAAGTTTGGGAAGGGAGACATAGTTTTCCATCTTTATTTTTTCCTTATTAAACCTTTCCAAGTAAGAAAAGTGAAGAGGAACATGAAAATCTTTCTATTTATATTTGACAGTCCATTGATGTTTTTGCCTTATGTACCTTATAAGTACATATGTGCAAACATGCCTTTTGCCATGCTATTTGACAGTAATCTGCAAACACCTTGACCTTTTTTTTTTGCTTTGCTTTTTGGGTCACACCTGGTAATGCACAGGGGTTACTCCTGACTCATGCACTCAGGAATTACTCCTGGCGGTGCTTGGGGGACCATATGGGATGTTGGGAATCGAACTCGGGTCAGCCGTGTGCTAGGCAAACACCCTACCCGCTGTGCTATCACTCCAGCCCCCATGTGTTATCACTCCAGCCCCCAAACACCTTGACTCTTAACCCCTTAGATATTTCTACATGCATCTCTTAAATATGAAATTATTTTATATTACCACATCAATACCACCTCTACATATTAAAGAAAACCAATACTATGATCAAGTCTTAAACAGTGTTTGGGTGATGTGATGTTAGGGGTTCCTACCACGGTGTAATGGAAAATCCATGTATAACTTTGACTCCCCCCTCCCCAATTTACATAGAGTCATCTATCTGCATGGCTGAGGGACTGATTGCTTTCAGGATCAGTTCCTTTCCTTGTAATGGACAATCTCTGTTCTCAGCTTCCCATCCGCTATATATTCAACCTATATGAGTCCTCATTAATTGAATCTGTAAACACAGAATCTTAGGGCCAAGTGTATTTATAGAAAGAAGCACATGATACAAGTAGACGCACGCAGTTTAAACGCATGTTGTTCAGAGATAAACTGTAATTCCACGTTATCTGACATCAAGTCCATATTTATATTGGATTGTCCCAAAATGTCTTATAAATGAACGTGTTTTATAGGGTATTGAGAAAATAAATTCCAGAATTCAGTTTAGTCTAACATAATGCATTTGATAAATCTGTTTAGAAAAGATTTTGAATATGGGTTTTTCTTTTTAAAATTTTTTTATTAGGACACCATGATTTCCAAAGTTATTCATAGTTGAATTTTAAACATACAGTGTTCCAATATCAATCCCATCATCTTCCCTCCACCAGTGTTCCCAGGTTCCCTCCCAACCCCCAAGCCTGCCTTTTTGTCAGGCACATTTTAAAACTTGGGTCCTGTAGTTTGGATTTCAGGCTTTCAGTTTTGTTGGTTCTCTCGGTTTCAGTTTTGTTGATTGCTCAGGGGCCACAGCCTCTGTGGTGCTGTGATGGAGTCAGTCACGGCTCTTGCTAAATCCTAGGTAAGCACCTTAACCTTTGTACCATCTCTCTGGCCTTTTGAATAAGTATTTTTGATGGCAGTGCTAGAAGTTGAAGAATTTGCTGATCATAACTTTCAGATGGAAAACCGTCAAATTATCTTGCCATCATATTCTGCATTTTTTGTTTTATTCAAGTGAAGACCGGGAGTAGTTCTTGGTGCTCTTGGCTTCGTAGAAAAAGAATCTGTGGATTCTTGAATACCACCCGTTCTTCTTAACTAATAAAAGAATGTAAATTTACTGTTAATGATAGGAGCGAATATGCAAGGAGATCTGAGTGAAGATATTAAAAGTGCAACTTTCAGTTATTTTTTTATTCCTTAGTCATTATGGTTATTCCTTTGGAATAAATTGTACAGATTGCCCATTTTTGAAATATTTAATCAGACTCATATTTAAGAAGTTAAAAATGGGAGAGCAAGGCAAGAGACAGGTTGTTAAAACAGAGCACCAAAAGGTGAGAATTTGCTTAGAACATCTTAACATACATTTACATGGCTAGCATTCATTAATATATTATATTAAGTAATCCAGGCAATTTTAATTTTAAAATTCTTCGGTTATAAATAATATTGGTGCTCACACCTACCACAAATAGTACATAATTTGTCCTGCTTTCTGTAGAAGTAACAAATTCGCAGACTTATTTGCTTACTTTCAAAATATTTCATACCTCATTCTCAGTTTCTCAGTTAATTTTAATTGAAGTGTGCTGGTTTTAGGCTGGAGAGATAGTACAGTGGCTGGGGCTCTTGCTTTATACTCTGCCAACCCAGATTTGATCCCCAGCACCATGCATGGGCCCTCAGTCCCTGCCAGGAGTGACCACCCAGCACAGAGCCAGGAATAAGCCCTAAGCACTGCTAGCTGTTGTCCCCCTCACAAAAAAAAAATTATTTTTTTTGGGGGGGTGGGGGGGCTTATTGGATCACACCCAGCGATGCACAGCAATTACTCCTGGCTCTACACTCAGGAATTACTTCCGGCAGTGCTCGGGGGACCATATGGGATGCTGGGAATTGAACCTGGGTCGTCCATGTGCAAGGCAAACACCCTACCCACTGTGCTATCACTCCAGCCCATTTTTTTATTATATATATATATTTTTTTATTATTATTAGTGAGACACCATGAGGTACAGTTGTAGACTTACAAATTTTGTGCTTGGGTTTCAGTTATACAATGATCAAATACCCATCCCTCCACCAGTGCCCATTTCCCACCACCACGGATCCCAGTATCCCTCCCAACCCCCATCCCTCCCATCCCCCCTGCCTCTGTGGCAGGGCATTCCCCTCTGTTCTCTCTCTCCTTTTGGGTGTTGTGGTTTGCAAAAGAGGCATTGAGTGGCAATCATGTTGGGTCCATAGTCTACTTTCAGCATGCTTCTCCCATCCTGGGAGGATCCTCCCAACACCCTTTATTTGGTGCTCCCTTCTCTATCTGAGCTCCCTTTTCCCCTAGCATGTGTGGCTGGCCTCCAAGCCGTGGAGCAAAGTTCCTGGTACTAATCTCGGCCACTCCTGGGTGTTAGCCCCCTATTTTGTTATTTTATGTTTTCCAGATGAATGCAATTTGTCTATATCTATTCCTCTCTTTCTGACTCATTTCGCTTAACATGATACTTTCCATGTAGTACCACTTGTATGTAAATTTCATGGCTTCATCTTTTCTAACAACTCCAGCCCATTTTGATTGTATTTTTATAAGAGCAAAGATTTGGAGGATTGGAAAGATAGTGCAGCAGGTAGTGCACTTGCTTTGCACATGGCAGATCAAGGTCCCATCCCCAGCACCCCCTAGGGTCCATGGAATACCCCTAGTAGTGATTTCCTGAGCACAGAGCCAGTAGTAAACCCTGAGTACCACTGGGCATAGCCCAAAAGCAAACAGAAAAGATTTTCTAAAAAATTTTTTTACATCTTATATAAAAAAAAAGTGTTCTGGTTTTTATTTTGTTCATTGGTAAGTTTTCTTAATTCATGGACTAAGGAAAGTAGAATATCAAATACATCACTGGTCTTAGATTTTTGACATCAGCACACGTAGAACTCCCCAGGACCTGCCTCATGGATCTGCGGTAGTTTATTTGTTTGGGGTTTGTGTTTTCTGATAAGTAAATATGTGGTTTAGAAGCACTTTTTAGAATTTTGATTTCTTCATCTGGCAAGCTCCCCGTGACGTATTCGATATGCCAAACACAGTAACAACAAAAGTCTCCAATGGAGACGTTACTGGGCCCGCTCAAGCAAATCGATGAACAACAGGAGGACAGTGAAACTACAGTGAATTTTAGTCTGAGGACATTAGAACATCTAAGCCTTTCTCCAATTTAGAAATCCGGTGTTGGGGCTCAGGAGATAGCTTGGGGGCTAGGAGCACATACTTGAGTGTACAAGGATGGAGCTTAATCCCGGCACCTCGGGCCTTCCATGCCCTAGACGTAAACCGTCCTCTGCCCCATGTGGCTGAACATGACTCCGGGTTCCCCGAGCACTGCTGGGGATGAGCCTCCCACAGAAATTCACCGTTTGAATTTGTTGTATGCTTGTTATTATACACAGTGCACACCACAAGTTCAGTAGTGCCGTTCTGCCTCTGTGAGCAAACTTATTTAACACAACAAGAGTTATAGTCTAATAATAAAAATAATGTGATATGGTTGGTCCTGGAAATCAAAAGTACTTTGCAAGAAATTCTTTTGGATAGTTAGCCCAAAAAAAATTGAAAAACCCTACTATACTGAGTCATAAGTATGCAAAAGTAACCTAAAGTTATGTTTAAAATACTAAAACATAATACCGTATTTCTTGAGAAGAATCTGCTAATTCTCTGGTTTTAATTACTGGCAGGGTTTTTTGGGTAGCTATTTCTATTAATTGGGAATTTTCTTGAATGGCTGTTTTTTAGTAGTGCTATATTAATATTTTGAATTAATAATACTGCGTCTTGAAATGCTTATTTTGAATGCCTTTGGTTCTGAAAAGGCATTCCCTGTCCTCAGTAATTTATTCTGTAGATTAATTATCAGATATTTGGTTTCTCTTGATATCCAGTATCACAGAGTTTCTGGTGTTCATATTAAATTTTTATTGACTTCTGTGTCCTGAATATTTTCAACATATATTTTTTGAGCATTTTCTCATACCCGACAGTCCGTTAAAGTTATATTCTAGTGCAGGGACAGACAGCAAAATATTTATTACATGATATTAGAGTTGAGAACTAAGGAGAAAGGTAATGAAGATGGTGACAGGATTTAAGGATGAGAAGAGGGAACTCACAGCAGTAGAGTCTAGCCAGTCTGTCACTGCTGGAGCCCGGGCAGGCTTCTCTGAGAATCTGCTATCGGTCCAGGTCTAAAGGACACGAGGGAGCGAGTGGGCCGTGCAGACCCCAGGGAGAAGAGCAATGCAGACTAGGGGAGCCACCTAGGGGGAGGCTGGGCAGTCTGTCACGGGCTTGCTTGGTAGCAGAGTGTGACAGGAGAAAAGAAGTGAGGTCAACGGGATAACGGAAGGGCAGGCCTCTATCTGGGGTCTTCTGGGCTGCCCGGAGTGACACGGGCTGCCACCGTGGGTTTGAAGAAAGAGACTTATGGTCTGATTTAAATTTTAATAGCATCACTTTGGGTGCAAATGGAGAATGTACTTTATGAGGAGTTAATTTCCCCCCTCTCAGAACAGTTCTATAGGATGGGGTCTGTTCTCTTCACCGGCTCAGAGGGGACACGGAGGGACAGAGGAGCTAAGGTCACACTAGGTTAGAATCCAACTCTCAGACCCAGGCGCTTCCAGCTTCAGGGCCCTTAAGGGAGCCGTTTGCTCACCATCCAGCAAGGGTTAGTTTAAAGGATTGTAGAGTTGATTGTTTTCTTAGACCGTGAGACGCTGGCCATGGAAATAAAATCGCCACTTACCTGATTTTCTATTTCTTTTATTTGGCTGTGCTGCTGGTGTAATTGTCTATATTGTTCTTCCACAGTATGGAGAAGGTCTTTAATGCTATTATCTTGCTGTTCTACAAAAGTCTGCATAGAGATCAGAGGTTGGTTAGAAGTTTCTTCTTTCTTTTTTCCTCTTTTATTTTTTTTAAATATTGTGCACTTTAATTTCCTGTCACACTAGCACAAAACAGTTTTTGAAACAAATAGTAGATCAGACAAGGAGATAGTGGGAATCGTGTTCTCTTGTGCGCTTTTTCAAATATGACGCACTTCTGTTTGTGAAATGTCCTATCTCTAAAATCTGATTTTCTGAACATTAAGCTTTTAATTACATAGAAACGAGCACTTTATTAATGAATAAACCTGTAATATTTGCTCTGTAGCTTTTGTACATTTCAAACACAAGAGAATAGTTTCAAGGTTATTTTCCTTTTGCTTCTTGTTTCTAGTAATTTGCAATGCAGTAATAACTTAGTGTTTTAATGTATTAGATTTTTTATTTTCACATGAATGCAGTGTTTTTATATACAACGTTAGGCAAACATAAAGTCAGCTTAAAATGATAATGGGAATTTTATTATCTAGTGCCTTTGTCCTTGAGAAAAATAAATAGTTGTAAAATATTTCAAATAGCTTGTCTCAAATTTTCCCTCCCCCGGTAGATCCTCATTGAAAACAAAAATGCACCCTCTTTGTTTCTACTTACTTTAAGTGAAGTTACTTCTGGGTATTCCTGAATTTCAGGTTGCTCTTTAATTAAGTGAGTTAATTGTTCCTCCAAATATTTGACTTTTTGTTGAAGTAGAATTTTTTCCTCTAGGAGATTTTCGAGTTTTGAGTTGAGTTCAAGAGACATATTCTTTACTTCTTCATTTTTGACTTGTAGTTTGGATGTAGTTTTTCTAAGTTCCTTTTCTTCTTCTTTGATTTCATTAGTTTGCAAGGACAGGTCATAAAAAGACTGATCGAATATGTTGAGTTTTTGAAATATGTCATTGATTTGGCCCTTGGTTTTATGGACAAAGTCTTTAAGACCATGTCCTAACTGAAGGAGGCCATTGGCTAAAATTTTTACATCATCTAACATAGCAAATCTTGAGTTTGGCTCTGGCGATGCAGAACCAGCTGATAAATAATCTTGGTCAATTCTGGAAGAAATAACTAGAGGAACAATAAAAAGAAAGACCTTAATCGTGTACATTTTTACCCCAATCATTCAATTTCAAGGAATTTGGAATTACTCTTTTCTTCTAAGCTAACCTAGGTGTCTAAACTCTATATATAACCAGGATTGCCACATGAACAGTAAGGGTGGCAGGTGAATATAGTTAATCATTAAGCTATGTCAGGTTGTACAAATGTAACCTTGCACATTGAATAAGATCAATGCTAAATGAAATCAAAGAAATGAACAGCTATCTGATGAAAAAGTGTTGCCGTGTTTAACTTGGCTGTCTTATCATCTACACTTTTAATGTTAACAATACCTACCTTTTTTAAAAAGCTTATTTTGGTTTATCTTGGCCTTTAATGAGTGAAAATTAAATTCGTTTGACTGGTAAATTTATCATTAGAGTAGAAGAAAAGTTAATGAATGAAATATGTATTTCCCGGATTATATTTTATTTTTTTCAGTACGAATGACCCATCCACCAAAATGCCTTTTTTGTGCAGCTTCCTGTACATCTCCGAGAGGTAGCAATCGATTTCTTTTTTTTATTTCTTTTTTTTTTTTGCTTTTTGGGTCACACCTGGCGATGCACAGGGGGTTACTCCTGGCGGTGCTCAGGGGACCATATGGGATGCTGGGAATCGAACCCGGGTCAGTGGCATGCAAGGCAAATGCCCTACCCGCTATGCTCTCTTTCCAGCCCCAGTAGCGATAGATTTCAATGATGCTTTCCCATAATGCTCTAAGCTAACACATGTTGATGTGTTCCTTATTATTTGTTACAGTAATTATCAGTATATCTTTTTTAATTTTAGATGATCCATCTGTTATCACAAGTTCCCTCAAATAAGTACAATGAAGAGGTATTTTACTCCCTTCATTGTGCATCTGTTTAGATAGATGTTTTGGGTTTTGAGATCACACCTTCCTGTGCTCAGGGCTTAATCTTGGCTCTTTGCTAAGGGATCACTTCTGGTGGTGCTCAGGGGACTACTTGTGGTGCTAGGATCAAACCCAGGCCAGTTGCATGCAAAGCAAGCAAGCACCCTTGCTTCTGAACTGTCTCTCTGTCCCAGTCCCTTTATATTCTGTATCTGTATGTTCTAGCCTCCTTTTTCTGTCTCCACCGAAATAGTTATAGTTATGTAAAGTCTTTTAAGGTGAAAGCAGAGTTAAATCCTGAGTTAAATCCAGAGTTAAATCCTCAGAACCTTATTTGCCCATTATACATCTTTCTGGTTTGTAAGCTTGGTGCTAATTGGATAATAGAAGCTTAATAAGACCAGACAAATCACATATATAAAAATAGATGTCCCACTGTGCTTCTAACTTAGAAGGAAATGCTTACTGGACACTTCTATTTAAGTGATTATCCTTTTTGAATATTTGTATTTTAAACATTTGCAGAACACAAATCCTTTCAAAATACCTAATTAGAGATAAAATGTGGTGAATGGCTTAAGAGTGTGGCTCTGGAATCAGACTGTGACCTGGGTCCAAAAGCCAGGTCTCCTTGTCTGGTGTAGACCAGGTGACTGCTTGTCCGCAGACCCCGGTCTCTTTATCTGTAAACTTGGGATAAGGTTATGGGCGGTAAAATAACGTATGTACATGACTTAGAACAGTAGCTGGCAAAGGGAAGGCACACAGATGTTAGTTGTATGAAAGGAAACAAGCTTTCAGCCTGTGTAAGTGTGTACGTATGTGTACAGTCAGTTCTACCAAAGATAAGATTTTCATAAAGTCAGATTTGAAAAATACACAAAGAAACTTTTATTCAATTAAATGTCATCTTAAATTGTAAGCACTTCCTTCAGGAGTTGCCCACACCTCGACAGAGGGTGCATGCCTTTGCTTTATGGGGCAATTTGGGTGAATTCTCTCTTTTTTTTTCTTGATGAAATATTTATTTTATTTTAAAAATTTTTTAATGAGTCACCGTGAGATACAGTTAGAGATTTACAAACTTTCGTGATTATGCTTCAGTCATACAATGATTGAGTGAGTACCCATCCCTCCACCAGTGTCCATTCTGAATTCTCTTTCTTGGGCCCTGATGGATGATGAATTAGTTGACTCAGTGTAAGGAGGCCCAGGGGACTTGGGGTCATCCTGGGTCCAGATGTGATTCCCCCAAGCAGCACCAGGAATGACCTCTTAGCAGAGCCAGGAATAGCCTCCAGCACTGGTGGGTGTGGCCCAAGCACATCCCCACTCCTCTCCCCCCCCATAGATAGATAGATAAATAGATAGATAGATAGATAGATAGACAGACAGACAGACAGACAGACAGATACTTTATTTTATGGGCCTGTCTGTCTCTTTCTCCTCCTCAATCCCCTTTCTCTCTCCTCTCTTTCTTTCCCCAATCTCGCTCTCCTTAATAAATACTATGTATTCCATAGTAAGTAAATGAATACATAAATTGTAAAGTGTCTGGTAAAACCCTATAAAACACGCCATTTCCAGTGTCTGGTCTTAGAGTGCCTCTTTCTAGTAGGAAATAGAGGCCCCCTTCCTTGGATGATTTCCACCTGAGCGTCTGTAGAGTTCTAGAACAAGCAAGGTCAAAGACCAGACGAGTTAAGAGCCTGATTCTGGAGCAAGACTATGTGAATTAGAATTCTGCCTTGGTGATTCTTTAGCTTGGTGACCCACGGATAAATTACTTACTTTCCCCTATCCCTCTTTTGTCTCTGCCTAGTGAAGAGAATACCTATGTTACAGTAATGTGTAAAACTTAGTATTTGGGACTGGAGATATAACTTAGTGGTCAGTGGTATTCTTTATATGTATAAGACTTGAGTTCACTTCCCAAAAAATATCAAAGCACTTACAACTCTACCTGATGTGTAGGTAAATCCTACATCGCATCATATGCTAATCTTTGCAATTAGAAGTTATTGATGCCTTAATGCCCATGATCATACTTAATTGTTGATATGATTTAATCTCTTGGTTAAGACAATAATATATTTGATACTTTTCCTAGAAACTAGTTTTTCTGAGTTTTGATCTGTGATAAATACAAGAAAATGTGTCTTTTTGACTAGACTGTGTGTGTTTCTTCTCAACTCTTCAATATTACACACACATCTGCTTATACCATAAAGGATGCAAGATAAAGAAAGGAGAAATATTATAGTAATAGGGGAGAATAACCAAAAAAAGCCCTTATTCATTAATGCCATCTTATCCTTACCATTTAAACATGTTGTGAGAATGTAAAGTATCCATTGAACTGACAAGATGCCTGAACTTTCTCCCTCCTTCCAGTGTGACCATTTAGTGGTGTGATCGCTGGTCACGAAGGGCATATTTCGAAACTTCTCCTAACCAAATTGTCTGCTTTCCTGGGTTAAAACTACTGACCCTGCTGTTTCATCTGCTCTCTACTTGGGTAGGACTTGAGACGGGTCAACTTCTCATTTGTTGTATGATAAACTGCTTTTTGCAAGGTCCATGTCTGGGTTTTTCTCCCCCCCATGTCTATTTTTAAATTGTTTTCCTGATAGCATTTTAATACACTGCCTAACGTGTTAGAGAAGCAATAAATTTTCACCGAATGGATTAGAGAATAATAAAATGGTAACATGGGAATTTCTCAAACAGAAAATCTGCATGTTGTAGATGTTTGTCCCATTTGGTATACATATATATGTATTTTTTTTAAAGGAGAATTTGAAAAGTAGCTCATTCCAATACGTGGAAGTAAGAAAAGAAAGACTGTGTGTGAAATTTCGTCTTGGTTTAGTTACTGTGCTAGAAATGCTCTCAGTTTTGACACAATTTGCTCATGTGGAACAGTGACACATTACGGGCGATTATTGTTTTTTTTTTGCTTTCTTTTGTTTTTTGAGGGTCACACCCGGCGATACACAGGGGTTATTCCTGGCTCGTGCACTCAGGAATTACTCCTGGAGTGCTCAGGGGGCCATATGGGATACTGGGAATTGAACCCGGGTCGGCCGTGTGCAAGGCAAGCGCCCTACCCACTGTGCTATCACTCCAGCTCCTGATTATTGTTGGTTTATAGTTTGTTTCTCCAGGGAGAAATAGCTGGATCCTTTTTTCCCCCCTTTCTTGTAGCAGTTTGGCTGTTATTGAATGCAATTAAATTGAGTGAAATAATTGGCTTAATCACATACTTCGAGCAAGTGCCAGCATGAGGAACTGCAATCAAAAAGTCTCTGAGGCCCCACGACAACCACCTTCTAAAGCCGCCTGTCTCTGTACACATGTCACAGGAGCTGGAATCCTCCACCCATAGAAAATAGACATGTTTATAACATCTTCTCTATAGTCAAGCAAAATCAGATCTTCCTCTGAAGGTGCCCTAAGTACTAGTATATGAAACTGCTGAACTGCATGACATCGAAAGACAGTTCGGAGCTTTGTTTAAATTCCAGCGGAGGCAAAGTCCTTGACCCTCCCCCAGCTTGTGCAACCACACAGGGGGGCGGCTTCCAAAGAAGATACGAGGCCCTTCCGGTCCTTTTGAGCATAATGCCCCCTTCTTGTTTATCTTTCACTGTGAGCATCTGATTTTGAATTAAAGTGTCTGGTAGAAGCAGTCTGGACATAGCTGAGAAAAACCCGCTTCTCAGAAAAAACTCGCTTCTCAGATCTCAACCCAGGGAGGGTAGGAAGTCAGAGCACTTACAGGTCTCCCTTCTCTTTGTCCCAGACAGCGCCATCCAGAGGGAATATAGTGAGTTTAAAATGTGAAAACTCTCTCTCTCTCTCTCTCTCTCTCTCTCTCTCTCTCTCTCTCTCTCTCACACACACACACACGTGAAATGACTTTAACAATATATCTGCATCATGCAGTTGTACATCAGAAATTTTGTTTCACTGGACGATCAGTCTAAGCATACTGGGCATTTATAGTCTGTTTTTATAAAACGCTTGTAGATGCGGTTTGTGTTTTATTACCTGCCGTACCTTGCGGTGACGGCAGACACACAGCTGCTCCCTGTCACCCCACATTGTCTGCTGGATGGAGCAGATCAGCAGAGGAAAGCATCGCTTTCCATTTTGTTGTTTCATTTGGGGATGGGAGGGGGTGGTCCACACCCTGCAGTGCTCAG